GCATCAGCAGCCCCAGGGCTGCCATGAAGAAGCCAAGGCTCTCCACAGCTATCGACATCCTGGGACGCAGGCCCCTGAGGGGCTTGGGCCCCAGAGAGGGGCAGGGGTGGAGCCCCCCGGGAAGTGGAAGGGGCTTGGCTAAGGAGGAGCGTTAAGGCAGGCAGAGGGGAAGGAGGGGAATCCAGCAGTGGCCTCTGCCCGCTTCTTCTCGGGCTCAGGTCCTTCCGTCTCCAGGTTTCTGACTCCCTCCTTTCTGGGTCTCTCTGCTTCCTGACAGGTCAGAGGAATGAGCCAAGCCTGTGTGGCAGCAGCTGTTGACGATGGAGGGAATAAACAGGCCAAAAGTCCACCCCCTCCCCCAGCCTCTAGGCTGGCCTGGACTCCCCGCCCCTCGAGGGTGGGGGGGAGAGGACTTAGAAGACTAACGGATCCGGCCAAGGAGGGGCCTGGGAGGACTCAAGAGCCAAGGGGGAAGCGGCTGTCTCTGACTCAGCTTTCATCTGGGGCCAGAGAATGGAATAGAGGGGCAAGAAGAGAAAAGGGGACTGAGAGACAGGAGCGTGACAAGAGGTGGAGTGAACCCTGACAGACATGCCTTCCATGGAGGACTGGGGGCAGGGCCACTCCCTCTGCATGGGAAGAACCACACCTCTAGGACCCCCGGGTCTCCAAGATGACGTGAAGGCAGTGGGAGAGACCAGCGCTCTGGGGTCTGGCAACCTGGATTCAAATTGGACTCCATAGGTTACCAAAGTGGCCAGGCTCGTTTATTTAGCTCCACTTTTTTTCTGCTAGCCATCTGGAGCCCCGGTACTGGCTTTGCAGGTCACAATAAGAACGGGGACCAGAGATCACAGCTCCCCACACACTCCAACTGCTCCATGCTTGGGGACCGTCTCAGATCTGAGGGCCGCAGGACTGAGGTGAGGCCAGCAGTAACTTTCCTCCAAACTTCCTGAACTTGAATTTCCCCCTTTGAGCTGACCTTTGACTCTCGGCATCAAGTTTGATCCTGCTGCCAAGGGGCCCCAGGAGCAGATCACAGGTCTGGGACATGAGCCTGTGGCTAATCTCTCCTAGCACTTCAGAGTTACCAGAAGCTGTTACCAACTCAATTAATCATGATGGCTCAAAACCCCTGAGTCAAGGCCAAGGTTGGGACAGCTCTAGTTCACTCCTGGGGGTGTCCGCCCTGTTCCCCACCAATGCGCCAGGTCCTCATGCTCCCTCAGGTGCCTCCTCCCACCCTGCTGGCCTAGCGGGGGCTGAGGAACGAGAGGTATGCGGCAAGCAGCGCAGGCCCACGCAGAGCCTGGCACGAGGGGGCGTGGGGCAGACCCAGTGGGGCGGAGCTTGTCTCCTCTTCCATAAGCTGGAACCCAGATACTCTCTGCCCCTAGCCTCCCCTCAAACCCCTGCCTCCCCCATACCAAAAGAACTTCCTTCTCCACTGGGGCCCCCCTTTCCCTAAGGAGAAGGATGGGGCAGGAGGAAGGGGAGGCGCAGGAAGACAAAGGGAGGGAAGGGCGGAGGTTGTGGAGGAAGCCCAAGGGCCGCAGTGGAAAAGTCCACGTGCTGGGAGGCAGCTGAGTGGGTCAGAGGAGACGGGAGCCGTAAATCCCAGCCTCGCCTTGGATGCCCTTCCCGCTGGTGGCTGCTTTCTCCCAGGATTCTGGGCCATGTCCTGTTCTGTCTGCTGCTGCTCAAGGACATGGCTTTGGGGAAGGGGAGGAAGGAAGGGTGTGGACTGAGCTGCTCCGTGGACAAAGGAGACCCCCACATTGGCCTGGAGGGCAGGAACAAGAGGGCACAGGGCAGGAAAGGGCCAGGGGTGAGCCCACCTATGCACAGTGCCACCCCCCGACACAGGCAAGGAGGTTCCCAAGCCACAGCCCAGCTTTATTTACACTCACACATGGCACATGACTTGGGGCTACACAACAGGTCTGGGGAGACAGAGGTTGAAGGCCGCAGAGGACAATGATGAGGATGCGAGGGAAGAACAGGGAAGGCCCGTGAGGATGGCGGGGCCCTGCTCTGAGTGTCCACCACAGCTCCCGAGTGCCCTGGGCAGAGGAGCAGGCGTGCTCTCCTTCAGGATTTGGACTTGGACACGGCCAGCCCGATGAGTCCAGCCAGTCCTGCCACGCCCAGGGCCATGCCTCCAACGATGGCCATGCCCACTAGTCCATCTAGGGAATGGAGAAGGAGAAGGGAGGCCGTCAGAGCTTGGCAGCCCACAGGGACCCTGGCCAGGACCGCCCTGGCCCTGCTGCTCCACAGAAGACGCGTGCCTCCCGACAGAGTCAAAGGCTACGAGCTCCAGGGCAGGAGACAGGGGCCTTCTCGGGAGTGATTGCTTGGAGGGGCTCCTTTATGGACACTCCATGGGGCCCTGGGAAGGATGAGGACTTAACCCAGGGCGAGGCGTTCACCTTTCTTCATGGCCTTGTCGATGAGCCGCTCCAGCTCCCTGGCCTGGCTGTTCTGGGGCTCTGTCTGCAGCAGCCCGCGCACGTACCTCAGGGCCTTCTCATACTCCTGCACTCAGGGGAAATGCACCGCAAGTCACCTGCACCCTGGGGCTCCGGGACCCCTCCTGCCAGGAAGGGTCTTCCTTTCTCTCGCCCCCAGCCCTGCCTGAACCTCCCCCATCCTCCCTCCAGCCCCACCTGATGGAGTAGAGTCCACAAACAACCCCAACTGTGTTGGGGTGATAAGCCAGGGGAGATAACAGCCCAAGCCTGAGGCTACACCCCAATCATGACGTCACCTTGTCCCCACACCCTTGGCACCCTGATCCTCTCTCACCTTCCCTCTGAAACAGTCCTGGTATCAACTTGCACCAGTGACCTCACACCACCCCCTGCCTACTGCCTTTTTCAGCCTCTCTGAGGCCCAGGGCTCTAGCCTGGGGCAGAAAGGCATCTCACCTTGAGCCGGTAGTTCCCCACAGCCAAGTAGAAGACATAATCCCGCTGCTCCTCTTTGCTCCCTTTGGGCAGTAGTTCTGGGAAAGGGAGAAAAAAGAGGGTGAAAAAACGGCTTCTTTCTTTTCCTAATACCGCATCCCACAGACCCTGCCACACTCCAGATCCCTCTAAGGTCCCAGTCCTGGGCCTCCATGTCAGCTGCTGTCACTCTCAGCTTCCCAGTCAGAGCTCTGGGGCACCATGAGCAGAGGCTGCCACAACACCCCAATACGGACATCCTGGAATCAATATTACAGTCACTATGGTCCACTGGAGTGAACCACAGGAACCTAAGGACAGGAAGTCAAAAGGAAACTCTACTTAACTCAGGCACCCGTTGTTTTCAATGCCATTACCTGCTGCCCAATTATTGTTAAAAACAAATGTTTGCACAGATGGGTGTGGAGGCACACACCTGTGATCTCAAGGACTCCGAGGCTGAGGTGTGAGGATCACAAATTCAAGGCCAGCCTCAGCAACTTAGCAAGGCCCTAAGCAATTTAGTGAGACCCTGCCTCAAAATAAAAATAAAAGTAAAATAAAGCTGGGTGTGGTGACACACGCCTGTAATCCCAGCAATTTAGGAGGCAAAGTCAGCTTCAGCAACTTAGTGAGGCCCTAAGCAACTTAGCCAGATCCCGTCTTAAAATTAAAAATAAAAAGGGCTAGGGATGCAGCTCAGTGGTAAAGTGCTCCTGGATTCAATTCCCGTTGGTGTGTGGGGGGGGGGGGGGGGAGGAGTCTGTATTCCCTCCTCCTTAACTCACTTCCCTGGAAAAACCCACCTGATTACTTCCCAATTCAGTGACTTCCCAGAGGACCGAGCGTGGCTGTTCTCAAGCATCAGAATCTGTCACTAAGTAGTTCTGCAGATGCTTAAAATTTCAAGTGCCTAATGTCTCCTCAACTACATGAGCAATGGCCAGAGACCACTTCTACCTTTGTGCCCTAGTGTGGGGTGAACCTGAAAAATCTGAATTGCAAAACAGACAATGTAGAATGATGGTATTTGCATTAAAACTCTTAGTTTTACAGATCTACAACAAGCATCCTTTACTGGTAGAGCTGTCCCTTGTTATTCTTGGCAGATTGGTTCCAGGAGCCCCATCAGATTCCCAAACCCACAGATGCTAAGTTTCTTAAGTAAATTGTAATATTTGCATAAAACCTACACACCCTCCTGCGTGCTTTAAATTCTCTCTAGGTTACTTATGATATTTAATACAATACAAATGCTACATTAGCAATTGGTATACTGTTTTGTTTTGGGAATAACAGCAAGTAAAAAAAGTCTGTACACTTTAGTAAATATTTTTGTTGTTGTTTTGTTTTATATCAAATGTTTGATCTGAATGAATCCATGATGTGGAACCTGCAGATATGGAGGGCCAACTGTGCAGCCCTTTGCTACAGCGAGTCTGCTGGGAATTACTATTAAGTGACTGTATTGTGAGGTAAGGGTCCCCTGATGGAAAGGATCCCAGTGCTTGGACAAAGGAGGCGAATGAGGCCGATGGCAGCAGACAAGGCTGGCCCCGATGCAGCAGAGAACAGCGACAGCCGCCCAGAGCCTCACCCTCAAGTAGTGCAATGCCTTTCCGGATGTCCTCATTGTACTTGCTCCGCACCAGGCACCAGGCATACTCAAACTGCGTGCTTTTGGACACTGAGCCTGCCGCCTTCTCAGACTGAAATTTCTTTTCAAACTTCTGCCGTAGGAGAGGAGAGGAATCGTTTAAAAACCAAGGGTGCAAGCACACTCTATCTGGACCTGTTGTCCATGTCCCAGTCACACTCCATTCCTGTCTTTGCCCTCACAGGTCTTGGTACCCAGCACCCCAGCTTCTGCCACCGCCAACCCATGATCCAAGTACTGTGCTCTCTGGGTTGGTGGACGACCTCCTTGGACGAGGGGCCCCTTCCTCCGCCCTCCCCCTACTGGTATCTAGTGGAGATGCCACCTGGTGGCAGATCCAGGCAACGCTCCAGGAGCAGCTGACCCCAAGTGGCTGAACAGTAAACACACTGTCCCAACTGCTCAACAACAGCCTACGCGGTCTTAGCCCGAGGCTGCTGGCCTCACTGCCACACCCTGCCGGGTCTGGACCTTATCCTATTAGCAAGACACGGTTAAAACCGGCGCTTATCTCCTAGAGCTACGAAGAGTGAGACCTGGCACGCTGTGAACTTAGCACCATGCGGGATTCAAGGTTAAAAGTTGTATTCCCTGGCAAGGGAAGGAGCATCCTGAGCTACAACTCCGCACGAACCCAGAACCCGTCACCCTTTCCATCGTCAAGACTCCAGGCCCTACGTCCTGAAGTGAGGAGACCCAAGAACTACCACTCCCATCAGCCTCCGGGACAAAGAGCGCTTTGGGGTAGGAGCCGGGCGCCGCAGAGGCTGCCGGGAGCCGTAGTTCGTTTCCTTCGGCGACGGGGAGGCTGGGGAGAGGGTTTATCCCCTGCCCTATTCTCCTCAGGACCCGCCCTCCGACTTTCCCCTTTGCCTTCCTGGGGTCCAGGCCTCACCATTAGATCATCCACAGACACCAGCTCGTTCAGCACGGCCTCCATGGCCACTGCCCCCACAATCCTCACACCGGAGTCTACTGTGCCACAGTCTCCATGGTCTAGTGGCAGGGGCGGAGAGGCACTTCCGGCGTCCGGCGGATGCGGCCCCCGACAGAGGGAGGCCCCGCCCATTCGGCCCCACCTCGCGCAGTCGGCTAGGCGGGCGGCCGGAGGCAGGATTGCAAGTACGAGGCCAGCCTCGGCAAATCAGCGAGTACCTAAGAGCGAGACCGTCTCAAATTAAAAAATAAAAAGGACTGGGGCTGGAACTCAGTGGTAGGGCGCCCGGGTTATATGTACATATGCACATACATGTATACATGTATGTATAACTAAATCTAGGACTCTGGAGGTAGGTGACTTTACCGCCAGCAACAGAGTCACAACTAGGACTAGGGTCCTAGGGCCGCTGCTGGTTCTTAGAGACCTGAATCTGTCAATCTATGCCCAGCGGCTGGGTCCATATTTACAGCAAACACTACCAATGGGAACTTAAAAAAAAGCTATTGTCCCATTCCTTGCAGGGTCCAACTTTCAAATATTATTTGGGTAAACCATCCTCTGGGTGTGCCTGAGGCGGAAAGCCTGCCACATGGGGTCACAGGCAGTAAGAAGTTTAGCAGAGGAGCAAGACCAAATGCTGCTAAGTCCTCAGGCTGTCGTGTTCTGTGCACTGATGGGTAGTTAGAGACTTCCCATTCTTCTCATCTGACCCACAGGGCTCTAGAACACGGTGGAATAATTCCATGAGGGCAGAGACTCTATCTTCTTTCCAGTACCTAGCACAGGCCCACAGGGAACGTGCAATAAATATGTGCTGGATAACTACAAAATAAAGCAAACAACAGTGAAGAGGCAGTGCAAGCACAGTGGGGTACTGTCCGCACACCTTGCATGTTTGCAAAGTCCCTTTACTATTTTTTCTTTTAATTCTTATGGTAGTCTTTTGAGTCAAGTAGGCAAGAGATGTTCTTCTCTTCTTTCCTACTTCGCTAGGATGCCACAGAGATGTCCACGATTTTGACATCATGAGGAAAACCTCAGGTTTGGAAATTGGCTCCGAGGACCACTAGCATAATACTTGAGAAAATTCAGCACCTGACCTTGGCTGGGCGTTGGGGCAAGTGGAGAGGACACCAAGATACACTCAAGATGGAGCAGAAGAGCCAAAACAGGACTGAAGACAGGAGGCCACCACTGACAAGGCAGGGCTGGAAAGGCCCGGGAGCTGTTTCCTTTACTCATCTCTGTATTTGCTGCACCCTTGGCACAGGGGGAAAAAGAATGCCTTAGTTGGTTGGTTCAATTTGTGCCCCTGAAGAGATCTGAAATGAGTTTGCGGCTTTTCAGTGTAGTTAGCGGAGCTGGCTACTTTTGATCATGGGGAGAGGAAGCAGTCCCAGTTTGTTTTACATCCAATTATGTCTCTTCATCTTCTTCAACCAGCTCCCATCACCACCTCTGCCTGGATCACTCCAACAACTACCTCACTGGTCCCCTCCTGTCACCTGCCCATTGCCATCAATTCACCACCCACTAATCAATCTATATGAAACCTTTTAATGGCTTCTCTTTGCCCTTAGAAGAAAGGCCAAAATTTTGTAACAGCCTACAAGACCCTTTTGGCTGGTCACCATCTTCTGCCTCATCCATCATGACCACTCCCTGGCTGTACTCTGCCCCACAGGCCTTCTTTCAGTTCTGAAACTCCAAGTGGCTGCATGCCCTGCACATGAAGAGCCTGCTATCAAAAACGTCTGTCTCCTTCCTTCCTTATATGGCTCACTTATTAATCAACACTGAGCCCCTCCTATGTGCCACACACGGTTTAATTATATAGAGCAGTACCGATAAAATTCCTGTTTGATCTCATATAGCTAACATTTTTGTGGGGAAAACAGAAAAGTTAAAGAGTAAATAAATAGAACACTGTGACAAAATGAGAAATATACACACACACACACACACACACACTTGGTCTCTGCCCCAATTCTTGAGGCAGCTCCAAATCCCTGTGATTTCCTGTGTTCTCCTGAGGTAATAAGAGCATCTCACACAGAGCTCCTAAGTGCCATGGAGCTTCCTGAGTAACTGGAACATCTTCTGTTCTAAGGAGATGATTCCTGGATGGGTCCTGGGTAGCTCTAGTGAGGGGGCTGGTCACTGAAAGAGCAAGGCACGATTAAAAGCTTAGAACGATCCGTCCCACAAACCTCTAGGGGAGGAGGGCGCCTGGAGACTGAGTTAATAATTCATCACACCTACAAGATGACACCTCCACAAAAATCCCTCCACTCCAGGGTTCAGAGAGTCTCTGAGCTGGGGATGACATGGACATGCTAGAGGCACGGTGGCCTCGCACACCACACTGTACCCCAACCTCTGACCCTATGCGTCTCTCCCATTTAGCTAACTAAACTATATCTTTTATAATAATCTGGAAATAGTAAGTAAAGTGTGTCCCTGAGTTTTGTGAGCCATTATAGCAAATTATCAACCCTGTGGAGTAGGTTACGGGAACTCCCACTGATAGCTACAGTCAGAACTCGCAGGTAGCAAACCTGGGACTCGCCACTGGCATGTGAAGGGGTGACAGTTTTCTGGGACTGAACTCTTTGTGAATGGGAGGCTAACGCCAGGTAGACAGTGTGGGGACTGAATTGTAGGGTACCCAGATGGTGTCTTCGGCAAACTGGAGAACTGCTGGGGCTCAGAAATGTTTTGAGAGCAGAGACACTTTTTTTCATTTAAACCTAGCGATGGCGGGAGCTGAATGTGCTACAAGAACAAGGTGGGGGAGGAGCGCCAGGAGCGCCCAGTGGAGCCTGCTGTGGGAGCAGAGTTCTGACATGAATGAGTGAGCCATGCAGGTAAATGGAAGAACATTCCACGCAGCTGACAGCGAGGGCAAGAGCCGTGAGGTAGAAGCACCCAAGAGTTGTTTGAGGCCAACCAGGGAGCCAGCTTGACGGGGAGGGGTGAGCAGAGGAAAGGGTGGCAGAGAAGCAGCATGGGGGATGGTGGGAGGCCTGTGGGCCCTGCTTAGGAACTGGCATGAAATTTTCCATCCGATAGGAAAGCACAGAGCGTTTGAAGGGAGGGAGTCCAATGGTCCACCATAAAAGAAAGGCTCCTGCTGGTAGGCGTGTCAAAAAGGCTGCAGGGGCCAGAATGAGAGCAGGCAATGAACAGGACCCTCCCTGAGTGGCCCAGGCAAGAACTTGGTCACAGCAAAAGTCACAGGGGTAAGGAAGTCTATTCAGGAGGGAGAGAAGGATCTGCTTATGAATTGATGCAGGGGGCTCACAAAGAGGTGGTGCCCCAAGTGGGTGACTTGGTGAACTTCCGCTCTATCCCACGTTCTCAGCTCAGTGGCCCCTCCTGGGGGAGGCCTGCACTGGCATCGCCGACAGGAGAGGTCTCCTGTGAGACCACAGTGTGGCCAGGCCTACCTTTTCACTCACTGTAGTGGGCACAGTCCTTGCTTGGCCAGCACTATGTGTCTGTGAGCCGTCTGGTACTGGCTAGGGTGTGGGTGCCAGAGACCCTATTTTGCTGTGTATTTTTTCCCACATAATGGAATGCCCACACATGACTTGTGACCAAAATCCACACCCAGGAAGGCATTATTCTTGACCCATTAGGAAACTAAGGCTAAGCTCTGTCATCTGCTGTCACTGAGCCAGAAGTGCAGGGACTGGGATTTGACCCTCAGTCCCTTTGTGTATTAGACTCCTGCTGCCTTTTCAGGTAAGAGAAAGAGATGGGGCTGTGTACTCAGAGAGAAAGATCAGTTAAAGAAAAAGTATTTGGGTGCGATGGTGTATGCCTATATTCCCAGTGGCTCAGGAGGCTGAGGCCCTAAGCAACTCAGTGAGAGCCTGTCTCTAAATAAAATACAAAAAAGGGCTGAGGATGTGGCTCAGTGGTTAAAGCGCCCCTGATTCAATCCCTGGTACCTAAAATAAAATAAGAAAGAAAGAAAGAAAGAAAAGAAAAAGTAGGAGGAAAGGTCAGGACAAGTTCTTGAGTATATTCTAGTTATTCATCTGTAAAAAATTTAGGTCTACATTTGCAATTTCTGCAGACTTACACTAGGGCTATCACCCCGAACCCCTACTACCACTAGTTCTGCTGAAATTGTTACAAGACAGATTTCAGCCTCTTGGAAGAAGGCCTGTATTTTTCCTTCCCACTCTTTCTCAGTGTGTAACTATGTACTAGTGTGAGAAGGAGAGTAAAGCTGGTCTCCTGCCCCAGAACGGAAGCCACCTGAGGGCAGCTCCATGTCCACAGTCCAGCTCAGTTCCTACCTAGAACCAGGAAATACTCAACTCGTAATTGTTGGGTATACAGACATTGCTGCTGCCATTATTAACGCTTTAGAAAGCAATGAGGTACACAGTAAGAGCTATAAGTAAGACGTAATATTTGGCTAAACCATCTATTTCTTTCTGAAAATAATCAGTGGGAAAAAAAAGAGGAAAAGGAAGACATGAAGATGATGATTCCTTCAATCTCTGAAAGGGTAAACAAACAATAAAGATGCCAGGGAATGATTTTATTAAACGATCATCAATATAATGGAAAATGTGCAGCATCCCAGTCATAAGGACTCCATGCAGTTAGGTGGGAAGATTCTAAACAAAACAAAACAGGTATGTGCTTCTCAAATTGAGTCATGTGGGAAGTTGACATTTCGGTTGGTGAGACCAAAACCTAGAACTGCTACTTGTTTTGGTATTTGCACATTCTGGGCTCTGGGCCCCTCCCTGGATTCCTCCAGCAGTTGGGGCCTGTTCTGCCTGCTGGGCAGGTGGCCCAACAGCAGAGCTCACCGAACTCCCACTCACCAGGATCCCACTATTTGTGTTCTTCCGATTTTCAGAAATCTGTCTCTTCCGCTTCCCAGTTGGAATCTGAAGTGCAACTTCATCCATCCATCCATCCATCCATCCAACCACCCACCCACCCAACAAAGGACTTACTATGTGCCGGGCATTCTCCTAAATGCTAGATAAGAGAGATGCTACGCAGATAAGGTCTTTACTCTCATGGAAGCTACGTTGTGGGGAAGACAGAAGATTGCTCAGGAACACCCGTCTCTCAGGCCGTTCCCGCCTCCTCTCAGCACCCCGACCGCCGGCCTGCAGACCCTCAACCCGGCCTGGCCGCCAGCTGCGTTTCCCCGGGGAAATCAAGAGCCGCTACGTCCCCCTTACTGCGCCGTCGGGGCCACTCGGGACCCTGTTTAATGTCCCCCACGCACACGAAGCCCTTCAGGATGGCCCTGCTTACCTTTCCAGAGTCAGCTGCTTCGACTCAGAATCTCCCGGCCCCGCGAGACTCTGCGAGGCGGAGGTGCCCCTCTGCCAACCCCCGCGGGCCCACACGGCGGCCTCGCTAGACCGGGCCAGCCTCCCGGAACGCGTTCTCCCATCTGCCCGCCCCCAGCTCCGCCGAGGTACAGCATCCTGCGCCCGGGAATGCGGCCCTGGGTGCGGACAGGCACTGCGCCTCGTGTGTCCCCCTGCCAAAGGACATGCCCCCGGGCAGCGTCTGTTGGGTGAATGAAAGAGTAACGGCAGGCTTTCCAAAAAGGACGCTAGGTATCCCGGGATGCCTGCACTTCCGGGTGGCAGTCCACTTGGCTCCCAAGGGAGCGAGAGAGGGAGGAGAGGAAGGGTGTCCCCGAAGGGGCTGCTCTAGGAAGAGGGCTCGGTGGTCTGGAGGACCCAGAGCGTTGGGCGGCGGGGACCAAGGCGTCTAAGTCTGCGTCTGCGTATTAGCCGCCCTCCGCGAGAAGGCGGGGCCTAATGGAGCTTGGGGCAGGGCGCGGGGGCCCTGTTGGCCAGTTAGCGCGCAGGATTTGGCGGAGGGGCGGGGCGAGGTGAGCCCGGGAGTTGGAAAGAGTTTTCATCAGATTCTCAAAGTGGGTGGTGGGTGAACAAAAACCACACACACACACACACACACGTGTGTGTGTGTGTGTGTATTTTTATACGTGCCTATGCATGCATATCTTGTGTCTCCCAGCCATCTCCCCTTCTGAGTCTTCACTGTAGCTGGCATAAATCTCTGTTGGCATGCTCTCCACACTAGCCACGCACGCATCTCCGAGGTTAGGTAGACCACCACACTCCTAATCATTGTTCCGTGAGCACCATTCTTTCTGTTCCTCTGAATGCCTTCCCATTTCTGGGTTACTCTAATGCACAGTTTAAAGATGTTAGGAAAAGACTGTTCATTCCAGTTCTGAAGACCTATCTGCACAGCAAATTTCTGGGCCTTTATATAAATACGGGCTTCCAAGACTCTCATATATTCACTTTTCCAAGTTTAAGTTAAAAACAAAAGTGTTAGGAGCAGGCCGAGCAGAATGCTGTTCTGGAGAGTGCTGACTTCTGTCATAATACATAGATGTTGCATAGAGAAAAGGTCAGCCCTCAGCCCTTAGGAAAGAAGGGCTAACAGGCAAGTTTGCCGCGTCCGGCCAAGGGAGCCGAGTCCGGCGAGGGACGGCGAGGTTAAAAGACACACAGGACACCAAGGTTCTTCATCCAGGAGTCAATACCCTTTATTGCTAACACACCTTTTTTTATACCCCAAGCAGCAGAAGTGGAAAACTACCCAAAAGCAGGAGGGAGGGGGGAGAAATTTAGTTTCAACATCTATTATTGTCAGGTACTGAAACCTCCCTTAACAATAAGTCCATCAGACCAGAAAAGGTCAAGGCATTCCCGTGGGATACATATGTCTCAGAGGGACAAGCAGGAACAGAAAAACCGCAAGTTCGCCATGGCCTTGTGAGCTGGCCACACTGGCATGCAGAACAAACTAGTGGAGGTAGGGCTCC